CCTCCAGGGGGACTTTCCTGGTGGCCGCGGCCTGGGCGGGGTCCTTAGCCCCCGGGGAAGCGCCCTCTCCCCGCGGGGATCCAGCTCCCCGCAGTTCTGGGAACTCCCGGGCGCCAGAGAGAGCACCCCCAGAAGTGGCAGTATCCAGGGAGGCGTGGATCACCCCGCCCCAAGTCAAAGATTCCACTAAGTGAGTTCTGGACGCAGTTTGCAAGCGAGCTTTTTATGCGTCCCAGCCTGTCCAGTCTGGGAAGTCAGGTCTCCTGGCTTCAGGGGCCCCCAGAGGCCCCCTGGGCAACCTCTTTGAAAAGGTTTTGCTGCCCTGCCCCACCTCTGACCTCCAGCTGCTCCCCCAGCAATGTTGGGCACCCCCGCCCAGGGGATGTGGTCACCCCCGCCCAGGGGATGTGGTCACTGCGTTATCTGCGTCCTTGGGACTCAGGGCCTGGGGCTTCTGCGTCTTCCAGCTCCGGGCCTGGGCGCCACTTCTTGGGAGAGGAGAAAGTGGAGGGTGGGCGGAGAGTCCCTTTGGCCGCCAGCCTAGTGGGGCAGCTGGAACCGGCTGCGTGTGGTCACTGACCCCAAGGACTCCAAAGGGTTGGAATCTGCCTTTGGCAGTATGCATTCTGGGAGGGGGAGGCCGAAGGACAGGTGTGGGCAGAGAGGAGGGGCCTCTGAGATCCCAGAGGGTAGACCCTGGAGGCGGAGCTGGGATACACCCCCTCCCCCCCAGTTGGGCTCAGGTGTGCCTCCTTCTGGTTTCTTTACCAGGGGCTTTTGTGCGGGGGTGGCATTGCTGGCTGATTCAACCCTTGGGCCCCTGGAAGCCCAGAGCTCAGAGAAATGGCCCTGTTGATTTGACCACCTACTGTGTGCTGTGGAGACTAAGGTGCGTCTGATACAGGCCATGGTCTTCGCAATCACTTGTTATGCATCAGAGAGTTGGACAATGACCAGGGAGGATAGAAGGAGAATTGATGCCTTTGAGCTGTGGTGCTGGAGAAGAGTATTGAAAATACCATGAACTGCTAAGAAAACAAACAGGTTTGTCCTCGAGAGGGTTAAACTGGGTGGCTCCTTGGAGGCAAGGATTCTGAGGCTCCGTCTAACATACTTAGGACATGTTGTGAGGAGAGACAGGTCCTTAGAGAGGAACATCATGCTTGGGAGGGTGGAGGGACAGCACAGGAGAGGAAGGGCCTCTATGAGGTGGATTGATTCAGTGACTGGGATAATTGGGATGGGAGTGTCAGAGACAGTGCGATTGGCACAGGACAGAGCGGAGTTTAGGGCTGTTGTACATAGGGTCGCTATGAGTCGCAAGCGACTCGACAGCACATAACAACAACACTGTGTGTTGGCTGCAAGCTCAAGGCCCCTTAGTCAGTGTCTTGCCGAGCCCACAGGAACCTCACCAAGCCCTCACACCAAGTACAGCCCACTCACTGTGCCCCTTCAACCACTTCTGAGGCCATAATCTCAAGTGGAGCAGGCTACCCATCGGGCTCCTCAGCGTGGCTGGGGGATTCGAACCCCCAACTTTTCGGTTGGCAGCTCAACACACTAGACCACCAGGACTCCTTGGGCTAGAAACAGACCCATTTCACAGATGGGGCAAGCGAGGCTCTGGGACGGGATGTGCGTAGGTCCAGTTCCTTCTTGTTAGCTGTCCCTGTCCCTGAGTTGGTCCTGACTGAGGGCAGCCCACAGACAACAGAAGGGACACACTGCCCAGCCCTGCACCATTCTGTTGTCTTTGGCCTGCTCAAGTCCTTGCTTGTGGCCTCTGGAGCACCTGGAAGGTCATCTTTTCCCCCTGCACAGGTCAGGGCTCTGTCATGACCCGAGCCTTTTCATGGACTGACCATCGGAGGTCGAGCACCAGGCCTTCCTTAAGTCTTAGTTTGGAAGCTCCCTTAAAACATGTCCACCAGAAATGACCCTGCTGGTGTTTGAAACATTGCTGACATAGCTTCCAGCGCCACATGACAAACTGACCAGCAATGTTAGATGGGGAAGGGATGGCTTCCGGATCCCCTTGTCAGTTCTTTCCGATTCTTAGGACCCAATAGGACAGACCTCAGCAGTCCTGTAGGCTTCCAAGGCTGTCCTCCAAAGGGGCTCCTTTTCCTGGACTGTGAGTCTGTGTTCTGCTTTTCCTTGACTGATTTTTAAGAGTAGATTGCCAGGCCTTTCTTACACCTGCCTGTCACCTTCTCATTGTGGTGGTTTGTGTGTTACTGGGATGCTCGAAACGAAGGCATATACCCCACAAAATAGTCTCTAATGTCTGCTTAAATCCAAAAGTCGTTGTTGATTGCTTTTGAGTCCAGCACAACTCATAGTGACCCTATGAACAAAAGGCCTGAAGCCTTTCTGTAACTATCATCATTTATCAAAGTTCATAGAGTTTCCAGAGGCATGTTGCTACTCCTGCTTCCAAATCCAAACATTAGTTCAGGTGAATCAGTAAAGAAACCATGCCTTGAGTGTTGCACTCTGAGAAAATCTTTTTTTTTGTGGGATCAAACAGACAACAGAAGGTTCAAGAGGAAACGCAGGGTCAGTGGGTTTCCATGCACAGTGCAGGGTGAGGAGGGTTGCACGACACGAAGTCCGGGATTGGTCCCTGCACTGCACAGGGAGAAGCTTGGGGTGGTGGGTGCATGGTCTCCACAGCACACATACATATATTCAAAACAAAATAAAAACCATCACCGCTGAGGCCATTCCCTCCCGTGGTGAGGACCGCGGTGTAGATTTCCAAGGCGCTGACATTCCAGAGTCCCATCACCAGCATTTCTTCTCTGTATCAGAACCAACACCATTGTTAGTAGCCAAATGCTTCATTACTTGCACCGCTCAGGGCTGTCCACTCTGGACAGGTTCCAGCGACCCTTCCAGACCCAGACAGGTTTGTGTGGAAGACAGTTCCCCTGCCAGTGAGCTGCAAAGCTGGGCTTAGAACCTGCGTTTCTCATTTCGCTGGGCTCTGCCTCCCACTCACACCCATTGAATTGATCCTGGCTCATAGCGACCCTCCGTCGGGTTCCCCAGGAGGAGATCTTCACGAGAGGTGACTGCCTGTCTTTCTCCCAAAGTTCCTGGTGGATTTAAACCTCCAACCTTTCAACTAGCAGCTCACCATGTTACCGTGCCATGTCACCAGACCTCCTTGACTCGGCCTGGAGAACAGCCGACAAGGTGGGCAGGCAGGCTGCAGGGCCTCCTTCCCCTGGAAAGAAATCAAGTTCAAGGTTTCTCAACAGACTTGGGCTAGGATTAGCTGGAAAGCCAGCCTTGAAGGCAGGCACCACCTTTCACCCGTTTTACAGGTGCGAGGACTGAGGCTGTGTGAGGAAAGCGCTTTGTCCATCTTGGCATGGCGTGGGCAGAATGGGGCCTCTGGCGTCTCGCTAGGCTGACCTTGCTGTCCGCACCTCATCTCACCTGGCTGGGAAGCTGGGGCACAGGCTGCTCCAGGAAGCGTTGCCCTCACCTTCAGGGCCACCTGCCCTCCGCACACCCCAGGCCTCCCTGCGGCAGTGAGCCAGGCGTGGTGTCTCTGACATACTGGAAAAGCTGAGCCTTGTTGAATGTTGTTGTTCTGACCCCAGTGCATCAGAAGCCAGCTGCTCTGCAGAGTTGACCCGGCGGTGGCCTTTTGGAAGTAGGGAGTCCACACTGCCAGCGGTTCAGCTACTCTCCAAGCCCTTAACCCATCTGTTTTGAGCAGGTAGTGTCCATCCACAAGACTCCCTCGACCCTGACCCTGGCCGGCTGGTCCTCCCCCCTGACTCATTCATCGCTGCTGGGTTTCCTTCCATAGGTATCACTTTGCCCCACTGAGCACCTTTTGTCTCTGAAAGAAGCATCCTGGTCCCGGTCAAACCGGTCATCTCTGAGTCAGCCCTGACTCAAGGCAGCCTCCGTGCTTGGGGTTAACAAGGACTGATTTACTGGAAGCAGATCACCAGGCCGTTCTTCCTAGGCACCTCTGGGCAGACTTGAACCTGCCTCCGTTAAGCTTCTCACATTCGCCGTCTGCTCGGCTCGGGATGCCTAGCTGGCCCCGACTGAGTCCTGTGTGACCCACATGCTGGGAAAGAGCTGTGCTCTGAGGGGGTTTTCAGGGGCTGGTTTTCCGGAAGCAGATCACCAGGTCTGACTTCGGGGGTGCGTCTGGGTGGCCTCTACCCTTTTGCTCAGCAGCTGAGCAAGTGCATTAGCCATTCACACCCCCAAGTCCCCTCCGCCCGGCCCTGGTCAGTTACAGTTACAGTTCAGTGTCCCTTTAGCCGCTGCACTGGGCTGAGCCCTTCCACTTGGCAACTGAGTTGTCCCCATGTCCTGCTTATCATCCACACAGCTACAAGGCCCTCTGCCTACGCATCAGGACAGGCGTGAGATGTTCCCTAAAGCGAGGTTTCTGGGTCAAAGGGAAGGGCCCTCTTGAAAGCTAAGCGCTGTCGGCACATTGGACTCCCACCTCCCGTGGCGTAAACACTCAAGCACATGACTACTAGACAAAAAGCTGGCATTTCAAACCCACCCAGAGGTGCCTCGGAGAGAAGACCTGGCAATCTCCTGAAAGGTCACCCCCCCCCCCCGAGAGCCCCATGGGGCAGCTCCGCTTTGCACACGTTGAGTCGTCACGAGCTGGACCTGACTTGATGGCCAGTGGAAGGATTGGTGCACTGCCCAGCACAGTAGGGGCGTCCTCCCTCATTACTGGTAGGGGTGGCCCTTGCAGGGCTGCTCCCAACCTTGCTGGGGTCCAGAGACCAGCAGCAGGAGCGCTGGGAAAGGGTCAGAAATACAGGCTCCCGTCCTGTGACCCCTGCACGTGGTCAGCTCACGTTAACGCTCAGGAGGTGCGGCCCCAGGAAGTGTTGCCCTCTGTCCCCAGCTGTCGCGTGGGCTTGGACTTTCCCCTGGAGGCAGGGACTGCACTGATGGGAATCTCCACTGTTCCCTCTGTTTCAGCGCCTGCAGAGACCATGGCTGCCAACAAGGCTAAGGCAGAAGCCACATCCAGTGCCCAGGTGACAGCAGAGGAACCGGTACAGCAGGTGAGGAAGGTGTGGGACAGGGCCACCCCCACCCTGTGACCTCTCAGAAGCCTCTCACAGGGATCTGTTAGTTTCCCTGGTGACACTATGGTTTAAGTGCCCAACTGCTAAGCATAAGGTCAGTGGTTCAAAGCCACCAAGCAGCCCCGCAGGAGAAAGATGAGACTTTCTACTTTTAAGATTGTCATCTTAGACCCTGTGGGGCTGTTTGCTCTGTCCGTCACTGGCAGTGGGTTTGGGATTCCCAGGTGGGGCAGGAGATGGGGACTCTCGGGCTCTTGGGGGGTGGGGAGGAGGAAGGACTTTCTCCCTGCAGCCACATCCTCCCCTCCTGTGAAAGGTCTCTTAGTACAGTTGCCATGGAGACGGCTCTGCTTCCTAGTGACCCATGTCCATCAGAGAAGAACCATCTCCGTAGTGTTTCCAGGGGAAGATTTTCAGAAATAGACTGCCAGGCCTTTCTTCTGAGGCCCTCTAACCCACGGCCACTTAAGGAGGCCATCCTTCAAGTTTCTGAGGCTGTAAGTCCTACTAGAATGCCTCGCCTTCTGCAGAGCAGCTGGTGGATTTGAACCATCGACCTTAGGTTTGGCAGTCCAGCATCTAATGCATTATGCTACTGGGTGTAGTTAGGTGGATTCAAAGAGCCAACCTCTGGATTCTCAAATGAGAAGGTTAATAAATTTCATCATCTAAGGACAAAAAAAACCCCCAGTGACCACAGAGTCAGAGCAGACGCACAGCTGCTTGGGGCCTGTCACAGTATAGCCATGCTCCATAGGGTTTCTGGGGTCGAGTTTTAGGAAAGTAGTTGCCAGGCCTTTTGAGGCACCCATGGGTGGACTTGAACCACCAACCTTGGGGTTAGCAGCAGAGGGTTTTAACTGCACCACTCGGGGCCTCTGCCTGGTGCTCAGTGTGAAGTTGATGTCCACCCCGCTGAGCTGCAGAGTGAGGGTGAGGGTAGAGGAAGCGTGGGGACCCTGAGGTCGCTGGCTGTTGCAGCTGCCTGACTGTACTGTGGGGATGAGCTGCACCCCAGCCCGTCTGACTGTCCCTTCTCCCCAGCCCAGCGTGGTCACCCGGGTGGCCAACATGCCCTTCATCAGCTCCACCTGCGACATGGTGTCTGCGGCCTACGCCTCCACCAAGGAGAGCTACCCCCAAGTCAAGTCCGTCTGCGATGTGGCAGAGAAGGGCGTGAGGACCCTGACGGCCGCTGCGGTCAGCGGAGCCCAGCCCCTCCTGTCCAAGCTGGAGCCGCAGCGTGAGTGCAGCCCCCGCGCCCCCAGCCTGCACGCCCGGCCACTCGGGCCCACTGCCCCGACCCCCAGCCTGCACGCCCGGCCACTCGGGTCCACTGGCCCCGCGCCCCCAGCCTGCACGCCCGGCCACTCGGGCCCACTGTCCCCGCGCCCCCAGCCTGCACGCCCGGCCACTCGGGCCCACTGTCCCCGCGCCCCCAGACTGCACGCCCAGCCAATCAGGTCCACTGCCCCCACGCCCCAACCTGCACGCCCGGCCACTGGGGCCCACTGCCCCGACCTGCCCCAGCCAAGCTTGGCAACCTGAGGAAGCGGAAACGGGAAGTAACCATCACGTTCTCTTGCCTCCTCTCCTGCAGTTGCGTCCGCCAGCGAGTATGCCCACAAGGGGCTGGACAGGCTGGAGGAGAACTTGCCCATCCTGAAGAAGCCCCCCGAGAAGGTAACTGGTATCCACCCTAGGGGCTCCTCCAAGGGCCCGGCTAGCTGGTGTCCATCCTGGGTGCTCCTCAAAGGGCCCAGCTGGGTGCTGTCAGGACTGCACTCCAGAGGGTCATGGGTGACTGGTTTTCCCAAGCTGGATAGCCAGGACTTTCTTCTGAGGCACCTCTGGGAGGATTCCTTCTCTGACCTGACCTTCTCTTGTGATCCTGATCCGAGCGGCCACTCTCTCGTTTCTTCTGCTCTCTGGCCAGTAGTGGCTGGTTCTCATGGTCCATTAGTCCTTTGGACTGTTTGAATCTTTGGGTTTTCTTCCCTCTTCTTTGCCCCAGATGGGGAGAGAGGATCTTGTGACAGTCTCTCCCCCGCCTCCCCACGAGGTGGGCTTAGCCAAGAGAGCGGTGCAGACAGTTATACTCCAGTGGGTTGTGAACCAAAAGGTTGGAGGTTTGAGTTCACTTAAAGAGGTGCATCTGAAGAAAGGCCTGGCAATCTGCTTCTGAAGATGAGCCCTGAGATCTCTGTGAAGTGCAGTTCTGCTCTGACACTTGTGGGGCGCCCATGAATCGGAACCCATGGCAGCCGGTGTGATTTTTTTTGGGGGGATACACCCGTGTGAGGGCTCCGCTTGTGAGTCTCGAGAGACAGGTTTGCTGAGTTGCGGGAGGATGAGATATGAGACATGCCACCTTGGAGACACTTTCTTGGGCACCAGTGTTCTCTTTCTGCCCTGCCGCTAGCCCTCGAGGCCAACATTCCTGCCTTTTATAGAAGGGCTGAGCTCAGGGCAAAGCTCCACAAGGTCGCCCAGCCAGGGCTGCACCAAGCACATGTCCCTGTGAAGGACACAGAGCACTCAGTTCCTGTGCTCTTTCTCTACCCCCATTCCACGTGACCATGGTGTAGTCAGAGCTGGGATTTGAACCAGGGGCAGCGTGAGCCGGGCAATCCGTGGTGCTCAATTAACTTTGTGCCCGTGTTACCACCTGACAGCCACACCAGCATGGCTCCAACTCACGGCAACCCCACGTGGGTCAGAGTAGAACCCTGCTCCACAGATTGTTCAACAGAAGGTCACCAGGCCTTTCTTCCAAGATACCTCTGGGTGGACTTGAACCTCCAGTCCTTAGGACAGCAACCCAGCATGTTAACCCTTTGCACCACTCAGGGATTCATGTCCCCCACCACACAGACATACATAGCCAGCCATCCCCACAGGTCCTGGAAGGCTGGGTGTTCAGAGTGGTACCGTCTTTTAAAGGTGAAAACTGTGGTGGCTGTGTAGTTTTCCAGGGACCCTCTGTGTGGAAAGAGGGGTCTCAGTGGTGCAGTGGTCAAGTGCTCCGAAAACTGCTAACTATAAGGTCAGCCGTTCTAACCTACCTGCTGCTGGAGGGACAAAGGTGAGGTCATCTGCTTCTGTAAAGATTTATAGCCTTGGAACTCAGGGCTGAGGGCCAGGGCTGAGGGCCGGCTGGCTGACCTCTGTCCCCCCAGGGCCTGTAGAACCCTCCCATCTCTGGTGTATTGAAAGCTTTTTAGAACTCAGACCCAGGAACAGCAGATGTTGGCTGACAGCTTCTTTCCCGAAAAAGAATTCAAAGAACAGCTATTTAGGAATTGAGTGCCCTCGGGCTAAGACTGGCCCTCTTTATTTATATTCGCAAATAAAGTCTTAGTGGCACACAGCTCTGCCCGTTTATAGCATCTCTGGAGGCTTTCATTTTGGTAGCCTTGCAGCCATCAGCCACAGGGAGGTGTGTGGTCTGCAAAGTCTGAAGTATTTTCTGCCTGGTTCCTTTACAGAGTAAGTTGCTCACCCCAGAGCAATACTATTAGCCAGTCAGGGTTATAGGCTGTAAACCCCAGATTATAACTGCTGTTGGTTGTCCTCAGGATGGTCCCAGAATCAAAGGAGCCCCTTGTAAATGCACAGAGACACAAGACGCTGTCTGCTCCTGCCTTGTCCCCACGGCCGGCTACGGACAGGATCTTGTGGCCTGCAGGTTTTCTATAGCTGATTTTCAGAAGTAGATCACCAGGCCTTTCTTCCTGGTCTTAGTGGCAAAACTGGCCCAGCATCCTAGATACACCCAAGCCTGGCTGGGCGAGGCTGTGCCCTGGGTGGGCTTCAAACCTGCATCTGCTGCAGGGGAGGCGAGAATTCTACCGCTGGACCACCACAGCCTCCTGCAGGCAAAATGGCCACTTCTGCCCCTTGGTTGCTGGGCAGCCGCAGAAAACTGCTTAGCTGCTCTCAGCCTCACTTTCTCTTCTGTAGAATGGAAGGGTGCTGCCTGGATTGTGAGGTGGCCTGGTGGCACAGTGGTTAAGCACTTTGCTCCTAATTAAAGGGTTGATGGTTCAAACCCGAACAACTGCTCCCCAGAATGAAGCCCACTCCCATCTGCTGATTGACCCAAAAGTTAGAAGACAACAACAAGCTATCCTGAGTCGCTGAGCTCTGGCCCTCATTCGGGAGCCCTCTGGGCGGCAGGACCATCTGGCAGCCACCCCCCACCCCCCCAGGTTCTATGGAATCAGACTGTCTTTTGGGGAGTGGCTGGAGGATTTGAACTGCTCACCTTTAGGTTAGCCACTGAGCTAGCTGTTTGCACCATCAGGGCTCCCTAAGCTCACACAGGTGGCATTGTGTACCAGCTTGGAAGTCTAGGGGTCTGAAAGCAGGTGTTGGAAGGGCTGTGCTCCCGCCAGTGTCTCTGGGGACAGTCATTCCAGCTCCTTCAGGCTTCTGGAGCAGCTGGTGAACCTTGCTACCCCTTGGCTGGAGGCCACGTCCCTCGGCTCTCTGCCTCTGTCCTCACCTGGCCATCTTCCCTCTGTGCCTCCGGGTCTTCACGTGGCCTTGTTATTAGGCAACCTGGCCAGGCCACCCTTCTCCAGTGTAACCTCCTAACACCTGCAAATAACCCAGCTGACCAATAAGGTCAAGTGCTGAGGTTCCAGGGGGGCTGAAGTTTGGGGGACTTTCCTCAGCCCAGCACACAGGGTCCCTCCCCCGGGCACCACTGACACGGGCCAGGTCCTTCTTGGACGGTACACCCTGTGAGCTGTGGGGCATTGGGACCACCCCTGCTCCACCCACTTGAGGCCTGCAGCACTGCCACAGTCGTGACAAGCAGAGAAGTCCCCGGACATCACCCAGTGTCCCCTGAAAGGAAATATTGTCCCCAGCCGAGAGCCACTGGGTTAGAAGACCTTCTGTGTCTCATAATCACCTGATGTCCTGGGACACAGAAGTGGGGTAGCAGACGCTGAAGGGCTCCTGGTTCACACTTTGGGAATTTGTTCTGGTGGGCAGGGAGAGTAGGGATCCAACTCAGTTTTTCTTCTTGTGTAATTAAGGCAGGTTCCCTGTGCTCTGCACTGCTGACGGGGACGCTGGGTCCTGTCTGGGGTCCGTCCCGTGCACTGTGGGTGTGGACTCCACCCACTCCGTGCCAGTACTACCATCCCCATGGCTGGAAGGAGCGCACATGCCTCCTCATATTGCAGTGACCCTTGGTGGGCAAAGCCAGTGCCCCTTTGGAGTCCCCACTGCTCTGAGGGGCTATTGTTAGGTGCTGTCTGTGCTCCTAGGACTCAGCTGCTGCATGAACCACAC